CACACGACAGCGGACTGTCACATGTGGAGGCTTTGCTCAGACTGCAACAAACCATGTAATAGAAAAGATGGTGTTTACTTTATAGAAGTCAAATTTATCAGACATATTTCAAATCTCCATGTTTTGTTTTGTTTTTTATGCATAAGTGATAATTAATCTGCACAGTGAAAGAAGGTAGTTATAATACTCTCAAATGACATTTGATCTGGAGGTCCTCGCTTGTCATTGTGCTGATTGTGAGATTCGAGGCTATTGTTAGACCTGGTTATTATACTCAGGTGAGAGTGGGAGCTGATTTCTTGCAATCCAGCCTAAGCTTTCACTGAAATTCACTCAAATGGTAGAAAAGGTTGCCCAAATTACCACAATCAACCAAAGATGCCTTTTGCCTAAATAAAAAGGAGGTCCGTTTTGCAGAAAAATGCCTAATCTTAGATAACTGGTCCCCAGTCTGATTCGGAGTTATTTTTCCCATGTGGGTAAACGGCTTGTAACTGTTAGGCAGTGTAGACTGGCCCTCTGTACTAGATATGTACAGTATGGAGAGTTGGAGTAGTTCCCCACTAAGACCAGAAATGCAAAACCTTCCGACTCTTTGCTTGTCAATCCCTGAGGGAGGAAGAGAGGGACACGGCGAGTGAAAGTGAGAAAGAGTTTTGCTTCATCTGCATGGCTCTGTCTTTCCCTCTCAGCAATTAGTCATTCCTCCACTTGTCTGTCATGTCCACTAATCTCTCCCACCCCCCACTCTGTTTTGCTGCCTCTGTACCTTTCATTAAAGCGCACTCTCCACCACAGTCACCACAGTGCCTTTGGGTGACTTCTGGTTTCCTGTTTTCGCTTCTGTCACACTGTTTTCTGTCCTTTTTTGCCCCCCTTCCCCCAACATACACACACTTTGTTTCTCATCTGTGCACCCTCTTCCCCCTTCTTTACCTGTCCATCACCCTCTCTGTCTCCCTCTATAATGGCTTCTTGTACCTCATGTCTTTGTGAATCCTCAGTGTCCTTGTTAGTTCTAGGTTGCCCTTGCTCTGTGGTATGTGCATGGTCCTCAGTTTTGTGTGTTCTCTGCTGCTGCCCCTAATATTACTAGACCTGTGTTATTCAAGCCCTGCAGCATACACACACACACACACACACACACACACACACACACACACACACACACACACACACACACAC